AGGCACGCCCAGCTCCCGGGCCCCGCCCCATCCTCACCCCCGCCCGCCCCCTCCTATCGGTCCCGTCCCTCCCACCCTTCTCCAGCCCCGCTACAGACAACGCTACGGTGGCGACGCGGGAGCGTCGGGGGCGGAAGCCGCCACCTTCTTGGAAAGCACTATAACCGCCCCGGCAGCGTCCGGAGCCCAGGTCACGCGGCCCTGGCACTGCCACCCTGCCGGCGTCTTCTTTCCCACCGTGGGAATTCGGTGCTGCAAAAGCACTGGGGCCGGGGCCAGCCAACAGGGGGACAGCCCCAGCCGTGGCACGGGCAGCAGGGCCCTGGTCTCCCACTTCCGGCAGAAGCAGAGGCTGTTCCCCAAAGGACACACCTTTGGGGGCGGGAGCTGCAGGTTTCTGCGACCCCACAGACAGCCACGGCCCTGCCGCCCACCCACGGGGTCTGGGCAGCCCGGTCTGAGAACCAGGGTTCAGCCCTCCACACCCTGCTCCATCCCGTCCCCCTGCCGGCCCCTCTCTCAGCATTGCACCCCCTGGGTGCCCTAGCCTTGCTGCCCAGGTGACCGTGCCTCTGCTCAGCCGTGGCCCAGTAACAGCCACCCTTGTCTGCTGCCTGGTGCCAGTGTGGGGCGTCTCCACGAGGCCGCCCCCACCCCAGGCAGGGAGGGCTTTGTGCATTCAAGTCCTCACACTATTAATAGCGCTCTTGGTGCAGGAGCTGCTATAAATAGCCTCAGCCCCTCACACAGGCCCATTCAGGCGTCTGCTGTGCACACAATCACCCACACACGCGCATGCTGACAACTCAGAGCTGCCCGTAGGGCACCCTGCCTGCCCCTGCCCCCCCAGGCCTGGCCACATGGAGGGGGCTCCCACCCCATCTGCCCTCCAGAGAGGCCAGACACCAGTCCTGCATCCTCACAGCCCTGCATGGCCCCAGGTTGGCTCCCCGAGACCCTGTGGCCAGGAGGTGGCCCTTGTCCTGCCGAGGCTGGCCTGGCATCCTTTGTCCCCCTTCTGCTTCTGTGAGGCCACTCAGGGCTCCGGCACGTTGAAGCACACCCTGGCCTTCACGCTTTCTGCCGTGAAGTAAGCCATGCAGCCCACCGGGCTCACCACTCTCTGGGGCTCCCCGGGCAGCCTGTGATCCACCCAGATGGAGGCCCTGGACCTGCTGCCCCCTCCCAGGGTCCAGCCAGAGCCTTGCTGGGTCAGGCTGTGAGGATCACAGCCCCCCACCGCCACCCATCCTAATCCCCCACTCCAGCAACCAGGGCTGGCCAGCCTCCGCCACCCCACCCCACCCCACCCCACCCCGCAGACTGAATTCCTGTCCCACCCTGTTCAGGCCTCATCCTAGCAGGGTGCCAGGGAGTCTGCCAGCCCAGGACAGACGCCCTGCTGGACCCCTTCCCACTCAGCGGCCTGGGCTCCCTGGCTGGTAGTGACAGGCAACAGGACGGGGGGGGGCTTGGGGCTGCTGTTATTGTGTGGAGAGGAAAAAAGGAAAACAGCCCTGTTTACGGAAAAGGCGTGTCCGCTGCCGCCAGCCAGTGGCCTTCCTGGGGGGACAGAGGTCCTTTGTTAGGAAAACAGGAAGTGAGGATTTCCAGGACCTGCCAGGCCACCCGCCGGCCTCCCGCCCTGGCTTCCGCCGATTCTTGAAGCCTCTGCCAGCCATCAGCTGATCGTCTATCCATCTATTTTTTGCTCCATCCCTCTGATTATGGTGCCTGACTTCCAGCTTGGGGACACAGCTGTCCATAAATGTTCAAGGTGGGCAGGGAGGGTCCCTGGAGAATGCCTCTGCCTGTAGGATGCGCCCGATTCCCGGGCACACTTGGGCAGTGCTCTTGGAGCGCCCACTTTTGGGAAACTATGGGCCAGCAGGGACCCCAGGAAGACCCGCTGAGAACCTGCCCAGACACCAGCCAGGAAATAGGAGTAGGGTGTGGCCTCTGTCAGGTCACCATGGCAAAAGTGCCCTAAAGTCACCAGGGAGTGAGAACCTTTGACAGCAGATGCACCTCACAGGTGCTCCTGGCACAGTGCAGGGACCCCCGGGATGCCAACCTGTCCCCACTGCTGCCCATCTGAGGACAGTGGTCCCTGTGTCCCTGCTACCCAGTCCAGTATCTGACCTGTGGCCCCCATGCTGCTCACTGTTTGCTAGCTGGACCCATTGTGGCAGCCTGTGGGCAGCCAGGGGCTCTCTCACGCAGCACGGCCACATGCAGCATGCTCCCCCACTTCCTCAAGACAACACTCACCCTGTGCCTACCTGTGCCAGCAACCTCTGCAGGGGACAGGGAAAGCCAGAGCCACTCTCCCTGCCCCCAACAGGCACGGGCCAGAGCGACTGCCAGGGCAGCTCGCCACACCAGCTGTGAGGCGCCACAGGGTGCCTGGCCCTGCAGGGAACTGGGCCGGCTGTGCTGTGTGGGGCTACGGCCAAGGCCCCCCCTGAGTCTGAACGGGTGTCACACATCGCACTGCTCGGGACCCATGGGTCAGAGGCAGCCTCTGCCTTGCTGGGCAGGGATAGAAGTGTATGAGTGGCTGTCCAGGGCCAGTCAGGGGCAGGGTGGGTGAACAGTTCCTGGGGCCTCCATCTGCACACCCAGCCCCAGGCACCATTGAGCACCTGCTATATGTTTCCCTGGGGCCACATCATGGGTCTGTTTGCTGATCGCACACTCCCACATCGCTGACCCCCACTCCACTTCCTCAGCTGGTGGGGGCCCATCTTCTGGAGTTTTCTGTTGTGCTTTCTTCTGCTCAGTCAGTGTCTCCTAAAGCAAGGGGAAGGGCACTCAGGTGCTGAGCCTGCTCCTGCTAGGCCGAGGGGTGGAGGGAAACTGAGGCCTGCCCAAATGCACAGGCAGTGCACGCTAGAGCTGGGCTGGGTACTCCCTTGGCCTGGGTGCTTTGGGGTCTGACTTTGCAGGGCTTGGGGGTAGGTGGGGAGATGACATTGCAGCCCTACTCCAGCCAAGGCTCCTTGGGACCGTGCCTGTCAGCCTGGGCACCGGGTTAGAAGGCTGCAGGTGGACACAGCACAGCCAGGGTGCGCAGCACATACGTCTGGGCAAGGCTGCTCCATAGGCAGGACTTGCGTTTACCCCGTGGGGAGCTGCCTGACAGCCGAGACCGAGGCAGAGGGAATCCCAGGGAGCAAAGCTTGGTCCTCAGGGTCTTGGAGCAGCATGTTAGCGGGGAGGGTGGACTCCAGGTTACCCCAGCAAGGAGCCAGTGGGATTTGCTGAGCCTGAGTGGGCTGTGGGAAGGTGGCTCCAGGTGGGGGCAGAACGAGGTGGGAGAGCAGGGAGTGAGTTTGGAAATCTGGACCTCGACATGGTGTCGCCCACTTCTGAGGCAAACAGAACCTGTGACGGAAGGCTTGGGGCTGTGCCTGGGGAACTGGAAGCAGGGGGAGGTCCCGGGTCTGCTCAGAAGGGCACCTACTGCAGTCTCTACACAGGTTAGGGCCGGGGCCAGCACTCACAGTCCAGACCCAGTGTCCATGATCTAGGTCCTGTAATCATGAGCTAGACCTTGAGCCGGCCCGGGCATGCCCAGTTCTAGAAGGCCAGGCACTGGGGCTGTAGTGCTCCCACCATGAGCTGGAGTGGAACTGGGATGCTGCAGCCCCCAGCCCAGGCCTCCAGGAAGGACTCTGGGGATGTCTAGAAGGAATTAAGAGGGGCTGGGGATTTAGCTCAGTGGTTCTGCTGCCTGCCTCGCAAGCGCAAGGACCCGAGTTGGATCCCTGGTACCAAAAAAAAAAAAAAAGGAATTAAGGTCCCTGGGGAGCTTGGGGCTCCCCAGCCTGTGAACCCTCTCTCACCCTGGGGTTGCTACAGGTTACAGCCTCTGGAAGGGAGAGCGTGTGTGCTGACTGTGGGGCTTCCTGGAGGAGAAGCCCTGAGGAGCAGCACCTTTGCCTGCCAGACACAAAGAGGGTAAATGTGTGCATGTGTATGCGTGTGTGCATACATCAGGGCAGCCCTGCCAGCGGAGGGCATCCTGAGCTGTCAGCTCCCCTGCTAAGTGACCCTGTCGCCCACAGGGACCCAGCTGTGTGCCCTGGGGTCAGGGCTCGGGCTGACCAAGGCCTCACTGCTCTCAGGCCCCAGAAAATCGGGATGCCCTTGGATTAGAGCTGCCTTGCATGGAGTGCAGACCGCACCAAGCAGCTGTTGGGGTGCGTGTGTGACCTCCAGAGGAGATGGCAGCCCTGGCCTTCATCTTGAGGGGATCCCTAGGCAGAGGGACACAGCCAGCCTACTTCGGGGCCCAGTCCCACAGAAACTGCAAGGTGCCCAGCAAGCAAGCAGTGGAGTCCTGAAGTCACCAGTAGGACAGTGCTGTGAGGAGCCAGCGCTGGCCGAGCCTGGCAGGTTCCCCCCTCTTCAGCCCTGGGTGGGGCTTCATCTGGAGCCGTGGCTGGGCATTCAGAGGGCACAGGGAGGGTACTGTGGAGCCCTGCAGGGACTGCCACCCAGGACATGGCCTCCAGAGGGCAGGGCAAGGCCTGAGCTTGGGGTGGCACTGCATGTAGGTGGGGAGTCATCACATCGGTGGACACAGAGGAGAGTGAGGAGCTGTTCAGTGGGGACAGAATTTCATTCTGAGGACATGCAAAGCTCTGGTGGTAAAGGCTGCATGGCCCT